AGGCTGTCATTTGGGGCTTTCAGGCGGAATTTGAGAAGATGCAGGAACTTTGGAAACCTTGGCGCTGTTTGGGAAGCAGAATGCCATACCGCAGCGCTCGTGACAGGCCGACGACGAAAACAGACTGACCCCCGATAGCTCGCTCCTGGGGCCGCTCCAGCGTTTCAACCCTCCTCTTGGTGCTTTCTGCGCTGCTTGAAATCAAAAGGCCGCGTTTGTGTCTTACCACCAGCCAAGTCAGGAGCATCCTTACCGCGCAAACAGCGTCAAGGAGATTATTGGCGTGCATCTGTGAAAACACTGACAGCGCTACCGGAACCAGGGCACTCTTCCCAGCCTTTGACTTGTGACATCTGATAATCTGCCCGGCTACGTTCAGCACTGAACAACTTCCTCCCGTCCATGAATCACACCGAAGAAGGATCCTTTTAATAAGAGCTCCTTTTCCAGAAGCTTTTGTTCTCCGCTTCGGATCTGATCCGAAGCCCGCTTGCCCCGGTAACTTCAGATGGCCCTGGATCAAACCTTGAAAGCGGGATTTTTCAGCGGAGCTCAGCTGCTTTTAATGCTTTGCCTTATCTGTGCAAGGGGGGCCAGCGGTCCCCCTGCGCGGCTGGGGTCGGCAAGCTGTGATTTGCGTTAGGATTTCAGATCTGAGTTTTGCTGTCGCGAGGTGTTAAAGGTCTCTGCCATGTTGTACGCAGGTGAACGGACGCACTCTTTGGTTGACTTGTTTAATTTCTATTCCTTTGCCAGATCAAATTTAGTTTGTATGCGTATACATATAATTACGTTACTCGCTTATACATACATAGTTAATATCACCAATGCTTTGGGCAGAGGCTCCGGTAGTTCACGGTGCTTTAGGAAATCAAATATGTAATGCACAAGTGGTAAGGTAACAAAAAAAAAACCTCCAAAAAGAGGAACAGTGCTTCAAAACAGCTTGGTGACAGACTTGAAGCCCACTGGGTCACTTGGCGTCTCGCCACCGCTGCTCTGGAGGAAGGTTGGCAAAGGAGGGGAAATAAACAGACCCCTTTGCAAAGGAACCGTGTTTCAACGGCCAAACGTTATCCTGCGCTAAACAATCGGAGCAAACCTCGGGTCTGACATCATCGCTAGAGTTTTCTTCTGGTAGGCTGTTTGGCACAGCGTGTTGGTGCTGGGGCTCCGCTCCGAGGGCCCCACTTGCGCAGGAGACGTTCGGGAAATAGGGACCACAAGTAATTCATTTTAAAATGAGCAACGGCGAAAAGAATGGTGAAAACGGCAGGTTCCGGACAACCTGTCGCGACATTTACTGTGCCCATCAATAGCGCCCTACCGCGCGTGACAGCCACACAGCCTACCCGTCCTGCCCTCCTGCGAGGGGGAGCCCGTCAGCCGGCGAGTGAGGAAGCGTTGCCCAGGGGGGCGCTGGGGCGGAGCGGGGGGGGGG